TTGGGAGGACATGCGGTTTATCAAGTTTGTAGCGGTGAGAACAAGCTCTCCCCAAAGAAATTTTAGAATATGGGCAGTGAACATGATTGATTGGATTACTTCAAAAATGTGTCTATTTTTTCGTTCGACTATGCTATTTTGTTGTGTGGTGTTAACACAGGAACTTTAATGAATAATGTCGTTGTCAAAAAAATATTGGCTCAAAGTGGTTTTAAAGTATTCACACCCATTGTCTGATCTTAATACTTAAATTTTAGTGAGAATTTTTAATTATAGTGTGAAAATTTTGAAAAATTTGGCCAACTTCAGATTTTTCTTTTATGAAAAAGATTTAAGTGATTCTAATGTGGTCATCAACAAAAGATATAAACCATTTGTTCCGGTGATATTAGTAACCCGAGAGGAACCCTATACATCACTATGGATTAATAAAAAAGATTTTGTGGATTTGTAAATTGAACAGGGAAATGAATTTTGAATATGTTTGGACAGTTGACATATTTCACATTGAAAAAAAATTGAATTTTTATTTCGAAATAAAGTAGGAAATAGCTTTTTCAAGTACAAAAAATTAAAATGTCAACTTGCAGTAGATAAAGATCTGAATCCATACTAGCATTGTCAATCGTTTTCCCCGAGTCCAACTCCTGAAATTCACATAGATTAAAGTTAAATGTAGCTACACAATTCAAGTCCTGTGATAGTTTGCTTATTGATAGGAGATTACAATCCAAATTTGGATGTATAGGACATAATACAAAATTAACTTGGGTGACAGTGCTATTATTTCTGTTGGATATTCAATAAGTCAAAAAGGATACAAATGTTTTTGTCCCAAAACCCGTCATTTTTATAATACTATGGATGTTACGTTTTTTGAAAAACAGTAATTGTATCCCACTACTGATATTCAGGGGAACAGTAGTAATCAGAAATATCAAGTATGGGATATAAGTACACCACCTTTCACCTCTCTTCCCCTCATTATTCCTGAGTCCTCATCAAATTTCCCTGAAACCAGTATCAAAGAGTCTGAATCTGAACCTGTACCTACTACTATAACCTGTACCTATGACTTGGGAACTGGAGCCATCAGCAATTTTAATTAAGAATTTATCTCTGCACTTATTGTATTAATTAAATAGTGAGATATCCCCGATCATATGGTCGAAAGCACTTGAGTCAATGATCCACATTCTCCTTTTTGAGGAATAAGTTGAGAGACCAGAAAAATTATTTTTGTGAGTTGTGGAAGCATTAACGTGAACCATATTGGAAGAAAACATTTTCTGTAGGTGGCTGATCTGTTCAAGACTAAATAGAGGACTTTCGGTAGGAACGGCTGCAGCTGATTCCTCCTCGGTTGAGACAAAATTGCCCCGATGAGTTTCTTGCTTTGGTGCCTTCTTTTCAGCTGGCTTCCCGTAAAGCTTCCAACATCTTCCACAAACGTGCCCAAGTCTTTTACAGTATTCGCACCATGGCCATCCCTTCCGCTCAATCACCCGACTTGTGAGAGCTACACCAGCCTCGGGTCAGAGAGAACTGCTTTCAGCAAGGTTAGGGCTGAGTTGCGATTCACCCATCATCACCTTCTTCCTGCTTTCTTCGCGTCGCACCTCAGAGAACACCTCTTTGATGTTCGGGAGAGGTTTGGTTCCAAGGATGCATCCTCTTACCTCGTCGAGGTATTTGTTCAGTCCGAAGAGGAATTTGAATATTCGTTTCTGTTCCACAATGCTTCGGAATCTCCTGGCATCCTAGAGACAGCTCCAAGCATGTTCCTCAAAAACGTCAAGCTGCTACTATTTTCGGGTAAGAAAATTATAAAATTGAGTTACCGTCTTTTCTCCTTGGCGCAGGTCATGAAGACTTGCTTCGACTTTGAAGATGGCGGAAGTATTGTCACGAATGGAGTAGAACTTACGGACTGCGACTCAGATATCGTGTGCAGTCTCATAAAAGAGAAAATTTTCTCCAATCTCGGTAGTTATTGAGTTCACTAACCAAGACATGACAAGATTGTTCTCTACTTTCCATGCCCGAGCATTTGGATCATTCGCGAGAGGTGGTGAGAGCTCTGCAGTGAGGTATTCATCCTGGTCTTTCCCTCGAATGAACATTAACACCAAGGACGACCATTGTAGATGGTTACTGTCATTTGGTCGATGACCAGTAACGAAAGGAGCCTGATCAGCGAGAGCATGGCTGTCAGGCACTGGAAGATAGGAGCCCGAAAGGACTTCAGGTAGAGAAGAAGTCTGTTCATCCATTGCCTATTGAATGCAAGAGGAATACTGAAGAATTTGGATCAGGTATGCTCTGATACCATGATGATTTTGAGAGTAGGAAAAACTCATTTTTTCATCTTATTACATCAATAATTAGTGCCTTATTTTATAGGCAAAACAAAAGGGAAAAAACAAATTAACAACTTTCTCTATCAAATGATAGCTAACATTCTGTTACGGTGTCTGATTGTCTAACAAAAATAAAAAACAGAAAGCAATAACAGTAAATATAATTTATTCCTAATATTTCTACACATTCCAATGAAGAAGGTGTTATACCAGACAAGTTAAATGTGTAACAAGCTGGAGATGGCTTTCAATGAGCTTTTATGTTGTGTGGATGTATTGGATGTTGTATCTCATTCGTTCTATGGAATCTCATGAATAATTTTTATCACTTTATGCCATAAGGAATTTGGTTCCTGCAGAAAATGCCAAAATCACTTAATCAAACAAATTTCTAGATTTTAGGTTCCCAATGGCCTAACTCCCAAAAGCAGTCTTAGGTTTGAACATAAATTTAAATAAGTTTGAGCTAGTGAAAATCGGGGTATGGGGTGATGGTGACAACTTGGCGGGTATCCTTGGGTGCAAGGATGTGAAGTTGCCAATTAAGTATCTAGAGCTACTTTTAGATGCTAAATACAAAGATGTGAAAACTTGGGATCCAGTGATTGAGTTATGCAAGAGGAGGCTATTGGGGATAGAAAATGAACTTTCTATGTAAAGGTGGGAGATTAACTCTTATTAAAAGCACTCTTACCAATCTCCTTATTTTTTTTATCGGCATTGACTATTTCTGT